GCCGCTCCTCGGAAGCCCTATACAGGGTCACTATGAGTCAGACCCGACTTGACGACACTTAATAGCAACAGCCTAGACTATGACCTGTGAAATAGCATTACGATCAAGTGTGTAATGTTATGAGAATGACCAACATGTGCCAGAGACACCCGGTGACCCAGGCTGTTGGAAATGTGGGGCCGGTAGACTTGTGTGATGCAGGGTTTACAGTTCTAGGCTTAAAGCTCTGGCCATCGGCCTCTGGAGGCTTCAAGGCGGGGAGAACAAGGAGTGAAAGGACCAACTGGGGTAGCACCCTTGGGAGAGGTCACCGAGAAATGGGTATTCTTCTTCCCACTGCACCCCAATGGGTGGGCTTTTCCCCCTTCTGGGATTCAAACACATGATGGAACCCAGTGACTTGTGTGCCCCACCCTCAGCTCTCCCAGCTGCCTCCAGGCCCTAAGCAGCCAGAACCATTTCTTTGTGTCCCTTTCTGTCCCCAGAGCAAAGTGTCTGATATGTTCCTATCTCATTGGGGGTCTTCCTCTTCTTTGCTGACCCTCCACTTTACCAAGTTTGATGTCCTTCTCCAGGAACTGGTCTCTCCTGATAACATTTCTGAAATCTGAGAGACAAAGTCTGGCCATCCTGGCTTCTAAGGAGGATTCTGGCTGTATTTCTTCCAACAGAGATTTGTTTGGTTCTTTTGGCAGTCCATGGTACTTTCAATATTCTCCTCCAACACCATAACTCAAAAGCATCAATTCTTCTCTGGTCTTCCTTATTCACTGCCCAACTTTTACATGTATATGAGGTGAGTGACAATACCACCATGGCTTTGGGTCAGGCTCGCCTTAGTCCTCAAACTGCTAGCTTTGCTCTTGAATACTTTAAAGAAGTCTTGTGCAGCAGAGTTGTTTCCCTAGTTTGTCCAGGTTTGCCTGGACCTATCCCCATGTCCTGTGAGACCCCACTATCCTGGGAAGACTGGGATGGTTAGATAAAACCACACCATAGCGTGGGCTCCTGACTCCTTCACATACTTGCCCAAGAGTGCTCTAGGTGGCTCCATCCCCTGCTGCCTCCAATTTCCCTCCCACCCTTCCACCCCCACCCTCTCAACCTCCCCACTCCTCACCCCCCCCATCCTAGAAGTCAAGCGATGTGTGCTTCTTTATTTCCCACCTCCAGTCCTCCTGGGTGTTAAAAGCAAACCAGATCACAGTGATGCATGAAAGGAATTAAACACAGCCCACACCTCCCCTAAGACTGGATTGGAGCCAAGGGAACAGGAAAGAGAAGTGTCAACCTCGGAGCCAGCTGCACCCCTCCCACCTTCCAGACCCTCAGCTCGTCTTCCCAGGAGCAGTTCCTGGGGGCAGTCACCAGGACCCCCAATCCAGCCGCTGCCTCCTCCCCTCCTCACTCCCTCCTCTGGCCCTTTCCTGACTCTTCTCCTGGGTCCTAGAAGGGAAACTGTGTATAGGGGGCCAGCCTGCGGTTTCTGCTCTTTATCCCCTCCTGTTCATTTGTCCTGGTCCCCAAGACTCAGTGTCCTTGTACTGTTGCTGGGGACCACCAAGACCCCCCAGAAAACAGCAGCATCACTGTCTTCTGAAGGGGGGTGATTGTCACCTCTTGTGAATGTCTACACTCCATGTTGGAAATAAGGAACATGAGAGAATGCTCTCCAACCTCCCACTCTCCTAGGAAGAGGGGTCCAGTTCAGTGAGGGTCTTGGAGGGGAGTATAGTAGGGCTTTGGGGAGGGAGCTGGCGAGCCCTGACTTCTTTCACCCTCTTTCCTCATCTCCCACTCTAGACCCCAGTCTTAGACGCCCACGGCGGCCATCACAAGCGATAGACAGAGATATATCGAGCCTTCTAGTTCTTGAGGCTGTAAGTCTGAATCGGTGTCAGCCATGCCTGTTTCTTCCCAGTGTCTGCCAGGCGTCCTTGGTGTGCTGACATTGTGTGCTTGTTTGTAGACAATCCTCACCTGGAATCTGTTTGCCTGGAATGTGTGCCTGCTCTTTTTACAAGACCTGGCTCAGAAGCGATAGCTTTAGAACCCATCCTACTCTGGTATGGTTTCACTAACATAACAAAGTCCCTGTTTCCAAACAGGGGTCAGGGCTTCCATATTCCTCCTGGGGGATGCAATTTCATCCAGACCAGCCCCCATGCTCCTAGGCCAGCTCAGAGCTTGTCTTTCTGAGAGGCCTTCCCTGGAGACCCTAAATCCATTCTCCCTCTGACCCCAGCCACTAGCCACTTGTTTCCTCCATCATCTTGTCCATAACATCCTGTCTTCCCCATTACCTACCCACTTTGACATCCTGCCTGTTGTTTCTTGGGACACCCTTTCCACTCTCACTGTCAAGTCGATTCCAATGCGCAGAGACCCTATAGGATAAGTAGAACTGCCCCAGAGGCTTTCCAAGGCTGCCGCTTGCCTTTATGGACGCTGACAGCCGCATCTTTCTTCTGCGGAACAGCTGGGGGATTCAAACTGCTGAGCTCTCGCTTCACAGCCAAGTGTTGAACTCCAGTCATACCAGGGCTGCCCAGATCCGGTGTGCACACCGTAAGCCCCTGTCCACCATGTGGGTAGCATCCTTGTCCTCCAGCTCCTGCTTCCCTCTTGGGGTGCTGTGTAGGCGGTCCCGAGGGGCAGGGAAGGGGCTCCTTGAGCTTGAGTGGGTGCTGCTCTGCTCCTCCTCCCCATCCATAAAGGTACTCGATCCAACAAAACCCTTGGCCCCAGTTCTTCTGGAGGAATTTACTCAAAGCTCCCTGGTGGTTCTGTGGAGCTGGGGTGAGGGACACAGATGAGCCTGGTGTCTCTGAGCTGCAGCAAGTGCTAGGGGAAGAGCAGAGGATGCCAAGGGCGGTACAGGAGCCACTTGTCTCTTTGACCCTAATTTCACCAAGGAAGTCCCCAGGTGTGCAAACGATTATGTGCTGCTCATTGTTGGCTGAAAGGTTAGTGGTTCATCCCTGCTTAGAAGCGAAGATGGCGAGACGAAGTCTCTCACACTTAGGACATGTTGTCAGGAGGGACCAGTCCCTGGAGAAGGACATCATGCTTGGTAAAGTAGAGGGTCAGTGAAAAAGAGGAAGATCCTCAATGAATGAGGTCCACCCAGAGACACCTTGGGTGTCAGAAAGGTCTGACAATTTACTTCCCCAAAATCAGCCATCAAAAACCTGGTGGGGATGCAGTTCTTTTCTGACACATACAGTCTCATCGTGGGTCAGAGTAGATGCTGCAGCAAGTGGCTGAATTCTCCAAACCCTCACTCCTTCTAGTTCATCCGAGCTCGATGGGAGAATGTGTAGACCACAGTTGATACCTTGTTCAGCAGACTCACCAAGTCGAGACTCTTCTGGAAGAAGAGTAAGACATCTCCCGTTGTCTAGGACAAAATCTTGAGTCGCCCAGAATGAAACACTGTTGAGTCCTACACCATCATCATTGGTGGATCTAAATCTACTGTTGATTTACTTGTGTTTCCTAAACTCAAACCAAGCACTGGATTAGTTCCTGAAATCATCTCTCCAGAGAAAATACAGTTAGGATTCTGTGAGCCTCTGATTACATTTCATCAACCTATCCATTGATAACCTTGTCTTATGTGCATTTCTGTTTAAAGAGACCTTGTTGAATATATTTCATACTGTGGCACTGTCAGACCAGCACTAGATTGTGAACCAGAAGGTTGACAGTTCAAATCCACCAGCTGCTCCTCTGAAACCCTATACAAGGTCCTTAGGAGTCAGAACTGACTGGGAGGCATTTCACAACAGCAACATATTTAATAAGGAAGACCAAAGAAAAATGGACACCTTTGAAATGAAGTGTTGAGGAATGTTGAATACACCATGGGCTCTGAGAAGATCAAACCAATCTGTCTTGAGCCACAATACTCCTTAGAAGCCAGCATGGTGAGACTTCATTTCACATACCTGGGATATAGTATCAGAAGGGACCAGCCCCTGGAGAATGACATCATGCTTGTAAAATAGAGGGTCAGTGAAAAAGAGGAAGACCCCCAATGAGATGGATTGGCACAGTGGGCTCAAACATGAAATCTATCAGCGTGGTGCAGGACCAGACAGTGATTCATTCTGTTGTGCATCGTTGTTGTTAAGCGCCATTGAGTCGGTTCCAACCCACAGTGACCCTGGACAGGGTTTCCAAGGAGCAGCTGGTCAGCTTGAACCTCCGACCTTGTGGTTCAAACTGACTTTGCAGTCTAGCGCATTAACCCACAGCACCACACTAGGACTTCGTAGAGTTGCTATAAGAGTTGCTATGAAATCCGCTCACCAGCACCCAACAATGTTTACTATATATCGTTCCATGTATTGACATTGAACTCAAGGCTCACAGCTCTGTAACTTATGTCTCAAGCAAGCTCATCTCGAGATACACACGGATTTTCTCCACAAAGCACTTGGTGGCCATTGTAAAGAGCAAGGTGGCCCCCACAAAAGCACAAGAATGCACTAAATAGATGAGAAATAGGACATGTGTTTACAGGTGAGCCTTCTCCTAGGCAGCAAACCACCTTGTTTAGCCCCAGCTGAGAATGTGTACTTTGTGTGACTCAGATGGTTTGCTGCGTGGGGCATGTACACGTGCCTTGAGTATTGATTTGGGACTTAAACATGCATTTTAGGGCCTAGGCAAATTTGGAGATATGGAATCCGTGAATCATGAAGATCAACGGTAAGTAGCATAATGTCATACAAACTAAGTGGCAGGTCTCAGGTTGTCTTACCCTTCCACTCTGTGTGTTCTCGGCTGTCCTGGAATCCCACACTGATATGGGGATAGGATGAGGGATAGACGATCCTGCTGCCTCCTGGCCACGTACACGTGCCAAACCTGTTCTCCTTTCTCCACGCAGCTCAGCCTTCCTGGATCTTTAACCCTGAAGGATGCTTGGGGCCTCATCTGTGTAGGGACACACAGCCTGACCACAACCTTCATGTGCCCTCTTGGTCTTTCAGGAATTTGGCCATTGGAATCGGGATCCAGAACTTTCCAGAAGGCCTCGCTGTCAGCCTGCCTTTGCGAGGGGCTGGCTTTTCCACCTGGAGAGCCTTCTGGTAAGTGCTTGAGTGTGTGGGCAGCTCCAAGGCAGGATCTTGTCCAGTGTCAGGATCTGAGGGCACTTCTCTATCCCAGCTCCTCTTCAAGAATGGCCTCCTGTGGCCTGGAGCATGTCTGGATGGACAAACACCACCAACAATGTCAAACCTGCACTTACCTGATCTCCTGGCCCTCACACTTCTCATGTTAGTGGCCAGTAAGTTGGCTCCAGTTCACGATGACCCAGTGGACATCAAAACGAAAGGTCACCCACTTGCCCGTCATCTTTGTGATGGATGTTATGGCCTAATCCATCGTTTAGAACACTGATACTCTGAGCACCTTCCAACCTGAGAGGCTCATCTCCCAGCACTCTACTGGACAATGCTCTGTTGTCACCCCTCAGGTTTTCATTGACCATGTTTCAGTAGTAGATCTCCAGGTCTTTCTTCCTAGTCTCTCTTTGTCTGGAAGCTCCGCTGAAACCTGTCCACCATGGGTGACCCTGCTGGCATTTGAAATACCTTTATCATAATGACATGCAAACCACCACTTTATAACAAACTGGCAGGTGGATGATGGCACCTTATACATATGCCAGCCTAAATAGAATGTGCACTACTTCAAGAGCCCCCCAGCACAGCCATACTTTGCCCAGTCAGTGTTAGTTAGACTGTCCCCTCCTTAGGTAGGAGAATCGAGGTAGACTTCCTTATGTATAATCTGCATCTCTAGTAGTGTAGTGGTTATGAGTCGGGCTGCTAACCACAAGGTCAGCAGTTTGAAACTACCAGTCATTCTGTGAGAGAAGGATGAGGGTTTCTGCTCCCATAAAAATTTATAGCATCGGAAACCCTATTCAGGGTCGCTATGAGTCGGAACCGACACCACGGCACACTACCTACCAACAATAATATCAACCTGCATCTCAAGGGCTTTAGCTCCGGTTCCTATTGTCACAGTCTGTCTCCGAGATCCAGACCTGTGCTGTTGTTGTTGTGTGCTGTCGAGTCACTCCCAACTCGTAGGACTGCCCCCGAAGGGTTCCCAAGACTATGGTCTTTATAGGAACAAACCATCAGGTATTTTCTATCCCCAAGTTGCTGGTGGACTTGAACCGCCGTTCTTTTAGTTATCAGCCATCAGTCTCCATATACCTTTATAGCTCCTGTCACGGGCCGTACACACACACACTCACTCACTCACTCTCTGCAGACCAGGACTGTGTCAATAACACGGTGACAACAATGACTATGGAATTCATACCGAGTGCCATCACTTTCCCCAAAGACGTTCCTTTTCGCTCCTTAGTGTGACCTGCTCAACATCCCGGGCCAGGAGCATCTCCCCCGAGTTACCTGGCTCATTCTGAGGGTAGAAATCTCACCTTTTGCCACTCAACCTGGGGCTCAGGGCTTCAGAACATCCCACGGTTACACTATCCCTACTCTACAATGTCCATTATTATAGAGTAGACGTTGAATATCATGTTGTTGTTAAGTGCTGTTGAGTCAGTTCCACCTCATAGCAACCCTGTATGGGATTTCAAAGAGGCGGCTAGGGGGTTTGATCAGCCAGCCTTGTGGTTAACAATCCAATGCTTATCCTACAGTGCCACACAGGACTCCTAATATCACTGTAATCGATTCCCAGTGTTGTTATTATATTATTAATTTAATGCTTAAGTAAGAAACAGTATTCTAATAAGAACATGGAAAAAATGGCTAGTGAGAACAATTTAAAAATACCTTCTGTTTCATACAGTGGGTTACGTGTTGGGCTGCTAAACCAAAGGTCAGCAGTTTGGACCCTCCAGCTGCTCCGAGGGAGGTTCTGGTGGGTCCAACCTCCCGTGAAGGTTCATGGTCACGGTGGACCACAGGGAGCCGTTCTGCTCTGCCCTGGAGGGTTGCTGGGATTTGGGATCACCTCGTTGGCAGTGGCTTTAGTTTGAGGCTATTTCTTAAGGCCCCTGACTCTCACTCTTGCACAGACCTTGGTGATTCCATGTCTGTAATCTACAGAGTAGAGGCTCTGGGTAAGGGCCGGCATGCTGACTGGTCCCAGAGAGTTTGGGGAAATGTGAATCCCCTGGGCCCAAGCCGTGACTGTTATTTCACACAGTAGAAGTACCCGGGTAGGAAGGGGTAGGACATTTGTGGTCAGTGTCCAGGCCCTGGCTTAAAGATTTTCTTTTTCTCACTCCACTCTGAGCTTGATGTTGAACCCACTTTTTCTTGAGGTAAAGTCTAGACCAGGAGTTGTACAGACCAAAATGCTGCAGGGCCTGCTGGCCCAGACCCCTAGGCCCGGGAAGCCACATGGCAGTGGCTCCTGCAGAGAATTCTATAGTGAAAACCATCTCTCCCCTCTGCTGCCCATCTATCTACAGGCCAGGGAGAAGCAGAGAGGGTGGGACACGTCCTCATTAACTTCCTGCCATCTGGGAGGTTGGACAGAGATGTGTCTCACACCCATTTTACAGATGGGTCAATCAAGGTTAACTCTAAGGGAACAGGGGAAAAGTGTCTCAACTTTTCATCAGTTGGGGTCGCTCCCTTAATTCACAATGACCCCAAAGCACAGTGGAATGAAACGTGCCTAGTCCTGGGCCAGCCCCTGATGGATTGTAGATCATAGAGTTTTCATTGGCTGATTTTCAAAGAGGTTGCCAGGCCTTTCTTCCTGGTCTATCTTAATCTGGACACTCCATTAAACCCTGTTCAGCATCCTAGCAAACACACAAGTGTGTAGGGACAGACCTGTGCATGAGGTGCATTGAGTCTCCCTCATGGAAAATGAGAGTCCTCCCACTGACCCACGACTGTCCTCTTATCCAGTCTGTGGCTCCCATAGGACTCAGGTAGTGGGGTCCCAGTGCTAGCTGATCAAGGGGGCTGCTGGTTTAATCAAGACTTGTTTCACATCCAGCTACAGACACCCACTCACACTAGCTCAAATAAGGGGCTGTGTGTTAAAGGGAGAAAACGCCCCCTTAATCCAAGATCAGGGACACACCTTCGATATGCACAAAGCCAGGTGGCTCTTCCCCTTCAACAGGTGCTGGGTGGGTACAGTTTCTTTATAAAAGGTATGACTGCAGGTGGACCCCCCAGCATGCCAGGCCCCTCTGTCCTTGGAAAATACCTAATCAATTGTCCTAATGATCAAAAGACAATGTGGACACGAAAGTGATAAACAGAAAAGAACATGCTGTTTACCCACACAATAGAGTCCTGGTGTGATGCTGTCAGATAAGCCCTGGACAGAAAGTTTGGTTTGAACCACAAGGTCGGCAGTTCAAACTCACCAGCTACTCCTCGGAAACCCTATACAGGCTCGCTATAAGTTGGAACCGACTCAATGGCACTTAACATGCACACACAATGGAATATGAGTTGTTCTGATCCGTGCTACAACCTCAGTGTTATTGTTTGTTGTTATTAAGTGCCATCGAGTTGGCTTCAACACAGAGCAACCCAGTATAGGATTTCTGAGGCTTTAAATCTTCACAGGAGCAGACAGTCTCATCTTTCTCCCTCGGAGCGGCTGGTGAATTTGACCCGTTATTCAGCTGATGAGAAAAGCAGTCATTAAGGATCACATATTGTCTGGTCCATTTCTATGAAATGTCCTGAGTAGGCAGATCTATATAGACAGAAGCCACATCAGTGGTTGCCAGGAGCCGAGCAGGAGGGAGGAAGAGGAGGAACTGCTAATGGATGCAGGGCTTCCATTTGGGGGGATGACAATATTCTAGAATCAGATAGCGGTGACAGTTGTATACACTTATGAATATATGCAAAGTCACTGAATTGTACTTTTTCAGTGGGTGTGTTGTATGGTATGTGCATTATTTCTTTGTAGGAAACTTGAAACTCTGAAAGAAATGGAGGGAGGGAAATTACTGTAGTTGTTTGCTAGAGGTGTGGGGAAGGACTATAAAGGATGCATGGTATGAAATAAAATGAGCCCATTTTCTAAGCTTCGGTCAGCAGTCTGGGCATCTCCCCTGTCTCCGCAGGTACGGGCAGCTAAGTGGCATGGTGGAGCCCCTGGCTGGTATCTTCGGTGCCTTTGCTGTGGTGTTCGCCGAACCCATCCTCCCGTATGCTCTGGCCTTTGCTGCTGGGGCCATGGTCTATGTGGTCATGGATGACATCATCCCAGAAGCCCAGACCAGGTAGGAGAGCCCGCTCCTCCTCTGTCCCCACCCAGCCGCACCCTTCTTCATTTCCACCTCACCCCAAGATCACATCTGCCCCCTCTTCAACTGCACTCCCCACATGAAAAAAAAGAGGGGTCAAGAGCCAAGACCCCTGCCCGCTCTCAGGGAAAGACAAGTTGCCGTGGAGCCAAATCCAACTCATGGTGGCCCCACGTGAGTTGTGCCCCACAGGGTTTTCAACGGCTGATTTTTCAGAAGTCAATAACCAGGCCTTTCTTCCGAGGTGCCTCTGGGTGGACTCGAATCTTCAACCTTTCATGTAGTCCCAGAGCACATTGACTGTCTGAACCACCCATGAGCTCCCCCACAGATGCCCATTTTTGTATACTGTCTCTTGGTCTTTTCAGGATTTTCTGGGGCTGGAGTCAGAGGAGACATGTACTTTTAAATGTTAGCCAGAGCGATCCATACCAGTGGTCTTCTCCCTTGATGGTCCTAGGGTCCTCTGTTAAAAGGACGCTTTCTGCTTCCTTAAAGATTTACAGCTGCAGAAACACTATACGGACAGAGTTACTATGAGTGGGAATCGATCCCACGGCACACCACCACCACCATCACCATTCTGTTCTCCACTGGAACTGGACATTGTAAAGGATGCTCTGACGTCTAAACATGGTTTCAGAATGCACTGAGGTCTTCACTTTTCTTTCCCGTTTCCCTCCTAGTGGTAATGGAAAACTGGCGTCCTGGACCTCCATCCTGGGATTTGTGGTGATGATGTCCTTGGATGTTGGCCTTGGCTAGAGCTGAGGTACTTCCGACTCCAGGAAAGGCAGCGTTTGGAGCAGCAGTGATTGGCTTCTGTGGAACCACAACCCTCTTACTTGTCATTAAAACATTCTACCTTTCTTTCCTCCCCATCTCATTATCCTGATTGATTCTGGTTATAATCTGACCCTTTTTGCTCTTCTTTTTGAGGGAGACTTTGGTTTTATTTGGAATTTCAAGGTGTCATGGAATAACAGATTTTTGTTTGCGTTACTGCTGTAGAGTCAATTATGCCCCTCCCCGCCTTTCCAAATATGTGTTGTAAATCCTAATTTCTATGCCCATTTGGGCCTGGGTTGCCTTCACTGATGTTAAGGAGGCAAGATGAGTGTAGGATATATCCTTGAGTCAGTCTGTTCTGAGATATAAAAGAGATTGAACAACCTAAGCAGACAGAGATGGGGGAAAGACGCCAAGACACATGAAGGTCTCCACGGAGCCAGGAAACAGAAGCTGGGGAGATAGGGACTTCTCTCTAGGGCCGACACAGAAACAAAGACTTGCCCTAAAGTCAGCACTCTGATGTGGACTTCCAGCCTTCTAAACGTCTGCTTATTAAAGCCTGTGGCCTTTCTGATCCAGCAGCTCCAGAGAACCAAGAAAGCCACTGATGGACTCTGGTTCATGGGATGATGGAAGGCATTCGGCTAGAGAGAGACTCTGCTTCCGGACCCTGGATCTCCCTTGCTAGACTCAACAGCAACTCCTCAAAGACTCCCAACAGCACCAAGCCACCGAAGGACATCTCCTCAGTATTTTTACCTAATCACTCAGAGCAGGCTGGCCAGGGTGTCTCTCTGTCCCTGTCCCCGCCCCTCCCCCTCTCCCTTCCCTCCCCCCCTCCCCCCACAACTCCCCATCCCTCGGATCCTTCACTGCTGGTCTTTTGCTCATTTAGACCAGAACTGGAGCATCATGGATGTAACAAAATACTTCCCAAGGCCCTGCTGGTTCAAGCAGCAACGCTCTTTTCTCTAGTTGCCAAGAGAGTGAAATTGGACAGACTGTCTCTCTCTGGGTCTCTCTGTCTCTCTTTGTAAGGCAAAGATTGATATTGTTGACATTAAGGGAGTTGAGACAGCTAAACACACAGTAAGAGTCCTGGTGTGGTGCCATAGGCTAAACGCTGGACTGCTAACTGCAAGGGCAGTCATTCAAACCCACCAGCTGCTCCTCAGAAACCTTATACAGGGTCATTGTGAGTTGGGACCAACTGGATGACCTTTAATAACAACTACAAACACACAGTAAGCTCTGTGACAAGAGGATGCAGTATAGCTTTACCGTTGACCCCGGTTCTCTGTGGGTGGGAAAGTGGATTCCAAGAACATTCTGTATGATTTCTGAATCTTCCAAATCTTCTATTTATTTTAATAAGAATATGAGTCTTCATTTCTATAAAAGCCTTGGGAACACGCTTTCTTGGAAATTTCTCTCTCTCAAACCCTTTCTTCAGCTATGGAAGAAGTCATTTCAGCAGAAGACTTTTGGGACCTGCTATGCGTCATTCTCTGTGGACCATTTGGTGTCTTGTATACTGACTCAGAGCTATTAAGCTACAATAGACTCGAGGAAGTTTGGCTGGAGAGCTTAGGTTGGGAAAAGAAGAAAGGGATAGAAAAAGAAGAGATATCTTAACACTTCCCTTTCAAAATCAATTTTAGGAGAGAATTAGACTAGAAGCCAACCTGCTCTTTCATACACTAGCTTCTGTCTGCTTCAAAGACTCCACTGAGGCAGGTAGCCGAGAGTTAGAAATCATAACATGATGTTCAAGGCCGTCCCTCTGTGTTTACATGCTCAGTTACTTCCAAGAGTGACTCTCCTGCTCCATACCCACTTTAGGACCCCAAGGGCCAACCTTGTGCCTGGATCTACATACGTTCTTCCGAAGCACTGATGATCAAAATTGAAAACACATTCAGAGCTTTGATTGGTTGCAATGAACTGGTTTGATGGGTGGTGTGTATGTGTCTGTTTCATTTTTATGTCTTCATTTATAGTTCTACCTAATGCAAATTGTTCTTTTTGATGGACAAGACCTCATAACTGTGATTAATATCAATAAAGACGATGTCATTGTGAATGACCCGCATGTTGAGTTCTTCTCAAAACCACTTCTTTACAGGGATGATAAAACAAGAGTTAACAAAACTGTGGGTTAAGAACTGAACTGCAAGGTTGGTTTGAACTGCAAAGTCGGTGGTTCAAACTCACCAGTCACTCCTTGGAAACCCCATACAGGGTTGCTAAGAGTTAAAACTGACTCGGTAGCAACATTACCCCTACCCAGAATCAGTAGTACCAGAAGAAAGAGCTTGGATGAGAGGACTGCTTAGTTCTTGGTCGCAAATAACAACATCCAGTTCTAACTTACTTAAACAGCAAAAGGATTTAATGGAAGCCTTAACGGAACTTGACTTGGAAGGAGAGGTGGCTTACTTCTGACTGTTTAGTCACTGAAAAGCCTTATGAATAACAGTGGTTACTACCCATTTATCTGTCTGTCCTACTGTGGTGGCCTGCATGTTGCTGTGATTCTGGAAACTATGCTACTGGTATTGTAAATAACGGCAGGGTCACCCATGGTAGACAAGTTTCAGCAGAGTTTCCAGATTAAGACAGACATGAAGGAGTTTGTAGGATCTGCAGAAGAATCAGGTTGGAAAATGGGTTGGATCCCATGATGTGAGAGTCTTGGGTCTATGAATAGATCACTCATAGTGATTCTTAAGTTTGTTCCATACTTTTTCCCTACCTCTGGTAGCGTAGTGGTTACGAATCGGGCTGCGACCCGCAAGGTCAGCAGTTCGAAACTACCAGCTGCTCCGCGGGAGAAAGATGAGGCGATCTGCTCCCGTAAAGATTTACAGCCTCGGAAACCCTTTTCAGGGTCGCTATGGGTCGAAACCGACTTGACGGCACTTAACAACAACAACAACCGTCACTAGACACCAGTACCACCACTGAAGATGCTGCCCTTCAGGGCTACTACCACCATGAACATGAACTCTAAACTGACCTTCAGTCTTTGTCTACTGACTCCACGTCCTACGTTCTGGGCAGTAGTGTCTGGCTGGCAGAGCTTCAATCTTATGTCCAGGAACTAGCTTGTCTTGACGCTTACCAAGACTCACACAATAATGGAGGTTTTCCAAACGTAGGAAGGAGTTCAGATGGTAAAGATCCAGAAGATGGAATTAAAAAAACTTTATTACAGCTTCACTTGTCTGCTGTTCAACATCGACATATGTTCTAAACATGTAAATAGAAACATTTTAAGGTGGAATTCTTGCTCAGATAAAGACGATATCCCCAAATGTAATTCACCCCCTGTCCAAAGGGATCAATGCTTTGTCAATCTCAGTACCCAGAGTATCTGAGGATGGTCCATTTGCCTTCCAGGTGAGTCAAAATTCCAGCTCATTGTTATGTGACCTAAGGGTTAATATAGAAAGTTAGCTGTAATCAGTCACTGTAGATATAATAGAATGAATACTGGGAATGAAATGGAAATGCAACTGATTAAAACATGAAATATCCACGTGGTATTAGTTCCTTGTGACCACACTAACAGATTACCATAAGTTTAGTGACTTAAAACAAGAATTTATCCTCTTACAACTCCTGGAGGTCCCAAGTTCTCCAAATCCTCCCTAATATCTCCATTCCAGGTCTCTGGGCCCGACCCTTTCCTCATTCATGTTTCAGTTTTCTTTGGAACCAACATAGAAATTCAGCCAGTCCCCAGAATCAAAAATTTGCATTGAGCTTTCTATTTTCTCCACTTAATGGGTATAAGAGGTAAGAGAATTTTTTTAAAGAATTGTCATAGAAAGTCTAAAGTTCCAATCTGTTCTCTGAACTGTTGGATCTTTTGAGCTTGTCAGTGTCTCTTTTTCTGTGTCCAGTGGCTCAGCTCTGTTGAACATCACCATCCCTCAGTTTCCTGTCCGTGACTTTGTTTGATAGCAGAAGCAACTCATTCCTTCAAAACTTTTCTTTTAATACTCACTTCATTCCAGACGGATTCCAAGCAGTATTTGAATTAGCTGCTTCGCTATAGCCTGTTAGTATGAAGCCAGATTCACATCTCCATTGTCTTGAAAAGATGATTCCATTTTCCCATGAACTTTTTGATGACCCTTTGTCTTAGCTCAATTTTCTCTATAACCTCAGTCCAGCCAGATATCAAAACCAGGATCTTTGGTTTTCAGAAGGACTTGCTAGCTTCTGCTGTCGGTTCCGACTCACCGACCTTGTATAGGGTTTCCTAGGAGCGACTGGTGAGCTTGAACCGCCTACCTTGTGGTTCAAACCGACCTTATAGTCCAGTACATTAACCCACAGCACCACAGCAGGACTCTGTTAGCTTCTAGCAACTACCAAACCAAAATTGGTATCCATCAGGGCTCCTGGGTGCACTGAACGAGAATGAACCTCACGGGAAGGGTGTTATAAAATCTCACAACACTGACTGAAATGCAGAAACATCAGGGTTGGGGGGGTAAAGATCCAGGAGGAAGACATCTGTGTAGCTCTCCCACCAGGTACTTTCCACCTCCATGGCACCCCCGCTGGGGAGAGACACCACCAGTGAATCACCAGGTGTCTTAGTACTGCCGCAGCACAAATACCGCAAGTGGGTGTCTTCAAAGAACTGAAATGCATTGATTGCCTCACAGTTTTTCCTGAGGTTAAAAGTCCAAGTCAGCTTCCAGCTATGTGAATGCCATCCTTGCAGATAGTCCCAGTTGGCCCATAGCTCCTTGGCCTGTAGAAAATCCTCCCATGGCTTCTGTCTCCCCTGTGTATGCGCGCGCACTAAATCTGGTCTACTCTGCTCATTTTAGAACCCAGAAGTGATTTGACGTAGAACCCACCCGACTGGTGTATGATCTAATGGACCTAACAAAGAAAACCCTGTTTCCAAACAAGATCACTTACATAGGAATGGAGGTTAGGATTCCAACAGC